TTAAAAAATATATATAATTCTTTTTGTAATGATACCTTTTCCCATTGGACTTTGATATGGATTTGTCTCCCTGTCGATGAGTGCCTTTAAACACGTATTAGAATCCTGGTTTGGATTTAGGATATGGCCTTTACATCAGGGGTTATCAAAGTTTGACATTGTGGGCAAACCTACGGTTTACATGGAACATGAGAAACCTGGCATTCATATCTCTATGATCATAACAGTATCCAGATTCTAAACAGGTCACAAAAAATAGACCCTTCATTTCAACCAGAACTCATCACATACTTTTACTCACTGCCATTGTTGCAACCCGGCTCAAAAGCTGCAACATGGATGGGAGACCAGACGAGTTTCCATCCTGAAAGACAGAAAGAGACAGCAAACAGGACACAGACCCCAAGTGGAAGGGAGGAGTTGTCACTATCTAGATAAGACTGTTTAAGAAACTTCACTGTCTTTATACTTCAGGTACCACAAAACACCATCATCAGCATCTCATATCAGTTGTTGTGTGTGCGTGTGCGTGTGTGTGTGTGAGAGAGGCTGACGGAGGGAGATTTCTTGCTGTGTATCCTCTTCCTCTGATAGCTCTGTCATCTGGTTGCCTGCCAACCACAAGTCGTCTATGATGATGATGACGATGACGATGACGATGATGACGATGACGATGAGTGGGGGAAGATAGAGATAGATGTGTGAGAGGAGATGAGGCGAGAAAAGAACAAATACAAAACAACAGTGGCTGATGGGATGGTCCACCCGCATCCAATTAGCTTGCGAATGTGTGTGTGTGTGTGTGTGTGCATGTGCAATGAATGCCTGTAAGGCCGTGGAGGGCCATGTATTTTATAGCTGGGCCTTCACTGCTATCCTACTATAGTTGAACCACCTCCTAATAACCTCATTATGACGCCACAGTTACGATTATTATTTGTTTTGTGTAAAAAACGCATATTCGCATAACACTGCAACATTTGACAAGTGAAATAAAAAGTTGAATGAAGCTTAACACCTTTGAGGGTTACAAATACACTAACTGCAGAGTGCAGATACATGAATACGCGCATGACCCGGTGCTGCGTCATTAACAGACAATGCATATAGTCAAAATCAATGTAATTAACACAATGACAAGAACAAACTCACAAGAACCAGTCACATATATTTATATGACAACATAGCAGGTCGAATAACATAAAACCCAAACGATTCAACAGGCCTCTGCACATTTCATAGGGCCGAAATCTGATTGGATAAAACAAGCTGTGCTGGAAGCAGCGCCGCAGACTGGAAGCAGTCTTCAAGCCACTAGACGGTTTCAATTTGAAACATCTATGAAGGAAGGGCTGTGTTTTATTGATAGCAGCTTTACAGTAATCGAAAACGCACGACAAACAGAAACAAATCATATTAGTGAATGAAAACATTACCTCTGTTAAAAAGAGAAAGTGACAGCAGCAGAGTGGTGAATGACATGACTGCTGTCGTTGTCACACTACTCAGCCTCCCGGGGAAGGCTTATGCCAGGGTGCTGGAAAGGAGGCTCCGACCGTTTGTCGAACCTCAGATTCAAGAGGAGCAATGCGGATTCCGTCCCGGCCGTGGAACAGTGGACCAGCTCTTTACCCTCGCAAGACTATTGGAGGGGTTCTGGGAGTTTGCCCAACCAGTCTACATGTGCTTTGTGGACTTGGAGAAGGCTTTCGACCGGGTCCCTCGGGGGTTCTTGTGGGGGGTGCTGCGGGAGTATGGGGTGCCGGACCCATTACAACGGGCGATCCGGTCTCTGTACGACTGCAGTAGGAGCTGTGTCCGCATTCTCGGCAATAAGTCAGACACGTTCCCGGTGGGTGTTGGCCTCCGCCAGGGCTGCCCTTTGTCTCCGGTCCTGTTCGTGACTTTCATGGACAGGATATCTAGGCGCAGCTGGTGGGTGGAGAACGTCAGGTTCGGGGGTCTCGGGATCGCCTCTCTGCTGTTTGCAGATGATGTGGTTCTGTTAGCCTCCTCGGATCGTGACCTCCAGCATTCACTGAGGCGGTTTGCAGCCGAGTGTGAAGCGGCGGGGATGAGAGTTAGCACCTCCAAATCTGAGGCCATGGTGCTCTGCCGGAAACCGGTGGATTGCTCCCTCCAGGTGGGGATGGAGTGCCTACCTCAAGCGAAGGAGTTCAAGTATCTCGGGGTCTTGTTCACGAGTGAGGGTAAGATGGAGCGGGAGATCGACAGGCGGATCGGTGCGGCTGCAGCAGTAAAGCAGGCGCTGCACCGGACCGTCTTGGTGAAGAGGGAGCTGAGCCGGAAGGCAAAGCTCTCAATTTACCACTCGGTCTACGTTCCTACCCTCACCTATGGTGACGAACTCTGGGTCGTGACCGAAAGGACAAGGTCGCAGCTACAAGTGGCTGAAATAAGCTTCCTCCGTAGGGTGGCCGGGCTCAGCCTTAGAGATAGGGTAAGGAGCTCGGTCATCAGGAGGAAGCTTGGAGTCGAGCCGCTACTCCTTCGCGTCGAAAGGAGTCAGGTGAGTTGGTTCGGGCATCTAATTAGGATGCCTCCTGGACGCCTCCCACTGGAGGTTTTCCAGGCACGTCCAACTGGGAAGAGACCCCGGGGAAGACCCAGAACACGCTGGAGGGATTACATCTCCCAGCTGGGCTGGGAACACCTCGGGATCCCCCAGAATGAGCTGGAACATGTTGCCGGTGAGAGGGAGGTCTGGGTCAGCCTGCTTGGCCTGCTGCCACCGCGACCCGACCCCCGATAAGCGGAGGAAAATGGATGGATGGATGGATGCTGTCGTTGTGTTGGTGGAAATATGTGGAAATGGACATTATGTAGAATTGAATAAAAAGACAAAAGGTAAACATGTAGGAAGTGTTGAGTTTGATTTTCAAACATCATTAGTGAACTATGCAGAATAAGGGAATGCCGGAGAAACATAAAGTAGACGAGGGACAGTTTATAAAATAGATCTAATGAATTAGAATGAATAAATAGACTAACGTTCTGTCTTCCAGGACAGTGGCGTTTTTAGTGCTTTTCTGTTACAGAGCATGTTTAAGGATGCAGAATTTTCCTCATCAGTTGAAGGAAGTCTAAAATTGGGACTACTGTTTGCTTTTGATGTATGAATAGGATAATTCCGTAACAGAAAAGTAAAAAACAAAACTTCAGTTTCATAATTAATTTGACAGGGCAACTAAAAAGGAACAAAAAAAGAGCTGTGGGAAATATTGATTTTATTTTAGATTTATAAAATTATCATGGAAAAAACTTAAATAAGTCTTACAGAATTAAGTTCAATTTACTTTATTGGCCATCAAGGCATTTTTTAAATGTATTTTTGTCCAATAAAGGTAATTCTATAGCCTTGGGGCGATAGCTACTGTACATTGCGATGGTCTGTCTTGGATGCAAATTAATCGTTTGCTAAACCCCTCCCCCGAACAGCAATCCTCCAATCGTACCTTAGCTTAGCTGGTCTATCTGTGCATGTTGAAGCGGTGTGCGCGGGGCTGTAGTAAGATGACAGTTGTCATTTCAACCAAAATGACTGTTGCTGGCTGGAAAATGAATCTCTGAAATCAATGAGCCATTGTTTCAAAGGTTTTGAGTTAATCTGCCACTGTTATCGTTTAAACTGCATATATGCTATGCAAGAACAAAACGATTAACAGGCACATTAACAGTAACTGAGGGGGGTGGGGCTTAGAGCACAGTCAATTGTGACACCTTTTGTCACATATGTAATCATTCTATACAGAGCAGGGTTTAGTCCACTCAGTGTAGTGTAAGAGCAAACAGCATCAACAGCGAAAGCACATCAGAAAACAGGGAGATTTCTTACTGAAATATACTTATAAAACAGGACATTTGGAGTAGAGGCCTGTCTCTAATATAAGCCTCTCTGTCAGCAATTTAGGTAATTAAAGGTCTCTGCACCATACAATACAGTTAAGAAACCTGTAATATGCACAAAAGTCCTGTTGTGATACAAATATAAGGAGCCATTTTTTTGAGTTAAAAAAAACAATCGGTGATCATCCTCCATGCATGGTTTATACCCACACACACAGTTCCTTTGAGTTTAGAGGTTAATGGTTTGTGTTTAAAGGTCAGCCGGTGGGAGGGTTGCCAACAGGAGCACAGTCCTCTAATCTAAAAAAAAATGTATTCTGAAGGGCATTTTTTATGCAGCGGAGTTATTCCAGCATTTACGGCACTTGTTCAGCGGTGCAAGAAAAACACCGACCAATGCGTTGTGAATCACATCACGTGATAAAGCTCAGCCAATCAAATATGGGTATTCTCACAAGTTTCCTGACTTGAGTGAGATGTACACACACCGTGACACACGGGGAAGAGACGAGGATATAGACAGCAGAGCAGGACTATTGTAGTGTGTGTTGTGAAAATCAAATCATAGGATGATTTCCAAAAGAGAAAAATGGCCAGAGAGACCAGAGTCATTAGACTCTGACTGGACAGACTCGTATAAGTGAATTCTTCCAACACTAATTTCTCTTTTTAGAAGATGTGAAAAATATAATATTGTGGCTTTTTTAATTGACCCTGAATGAACTGAATTTGAAGTTGCAGGGCAATTCAGTGAAAATAACTTTTCTAATATGAATTGTGTTACGTAATTTATTTTAGACTTCTTGAATATATATATATATATATAATTTGGGTCGTGGCTTGTCATTGAGGGGTGATAGTGGGTCCCGCAGCCAGACCAGTTGAGAACCACTGGTTTAGACTGTGCCCGCTTATTTGATTGCTTCATGTGGAAAAATCCAAAGCTTGACAAGTCAATAGACAGCAGACGGTTAATAAGAATTATTAAGTGTAGGTAAGTAGGTATGCATCAACAATATCAGTGGCTAAAAGCATGGACCAGACCATATATGATTATTAAAACCTAAGTGTAGGTCTGACCCTCTGGAATGCTTTAAACATGACATTGAATTCCGTGTGCTTTGCCTCCCCAGGACCCCAGGTTTAATGCTGAGGTGGACCTGATCACAGGTTACAAAACCCAGAGTATCCTTTGCCTTCCCATCAAGAACCACAGAGATGAGGTAAGTCAATATACACTGGAGCTGTACAGCTTGTGTTTACCAACTTACAGGAGGTGTGATGTTATAGTAAACCAGTAGTATAGTGGTTTATCTAAAGGGACACCAGTATTTTTGTTTGTCAAGCCCAGTGTGATATGAACAGGCAAAGAAGGCTGATGTGTATAAAGCCAGCTTTAGAGAAATGATGGGAATCTATATGACAATGTCCACTTACTAGCGTCTTCCAGATCTTTCAACAACATTTCATGGTCATCTTCAGCAAATGGACTTTTGCTTGGTTGTGATGGAGATGGCTCAATTGTCATTATGTATGTGCAGCATGCATATACATAAAGTATTGAACTCCATCTAGTGGCAACTGCGTAATCTCCATGACAACTGAGAAAACTCCATCCACTGAGGAAGACCATAGGATGCAGGTGAACATTCCGAAAAAAGCTCTTAAGTAGACCTTGAGTTGGTCTAACTAAATACATGTTTTGATTTTCAGAATTTGGTTCTTGCTGTTTGTGGGTGGGCAGCTAGCTATTATGGCTGTATGGCATTTGCAATCGAGATTTGGTATATTCTTCTTGCTTTTACAAGTTGCTATTAGCTGTACCTAGGCTGCTTCAGTGTTTGTGCTTTTGCAGTTTCTGTTTGTGTATGGTAGTGTGATTTAGTTTCACTTGGCCAATTGCCCTGTTAAGTGCCAGGAGAGTGGCTTGCACTCCTGGCAGACAATGAGCAATCAGTAGGTAGCTGTCCTTAACCACTGCTGGTGATTGGAAGCGAAAGCTTCCAAGCTTCCAAGTCTGTCAGCTTCCAAGTCTGTCCTGGCCCCACAGTGGTGGAATGAACTCCCCACTGACTTTAATTCAGTTTTAACTAATTAATTGCGTCCTTTTCCAATACAAAGCTTTAGCTATGGGAGCCCTGTTGACAGGATTTCTGGTTGCCTTGAGATTGTTCATTAGAAATCTTATCAACAATCTTGTGCATCAGTTAAAAAACAATGTGTTGTTTTTAATATTTACATTCACATTGTGTATATAATACAAATCAAGACATTATATTTACAAATCATTGATAACCACTTCTGTGTTTGTCCCTGCTGTACAACTTTTCATCATCTTTTCCTGTTGTGTTTTCTCTGTCCAGGTAGTTGGAGTGGCTCAGGCTATCAATAAAAAATGTGGGGAGGACAGTGCCTTCAGTGAACAGGATGAAAAGGTCAGTAAAGTCCACCAGTTCACCTGCAAGAACCATGTCTTGTTAATGTGTCTAAATTCAGAACGTTAGAAAGATGTTGGTAATAGATTTTGCTTTGTGCTGAGGGGTTGGACAGACTGATAACAGAAGCATAACCGTAGCTCTCCTGACCCGTGACAAAATGTGTCTCCTAGATACATTGAATATAGAACTGTCCCACCTGCGTGGGTCCTTCCTCGTATCATCTGGCATTTCCTTTCTCCTCAGGACTTCTCAGCCTATTTAGCCTTCTCAGGCATCGTCCTGCACAACGCTCAGCTCTACGAGACATCGCAACTCGAAAACAGACGCAATCAGGTGGGTCAGTGTGAATGTGTCTGAAGGTGTGTGTACGCCGCAGAGACACACTTTGTAACATGATGCATTCTTCTGTGTGCAACTTCTGTGTGTGTGTGTGTGTGTGTGTGTGTGTGTGTGTGTGTGTGTGTGTGTGTGTGTGTGTGTGTGTGTGTGTGTGTGTGTGTGTGTGTGTGTGTGTGTGTGTGTGTGTGTGTGTGTGTGTGTGTGTGTGTGTGTGTGTGTGTGCGTGTAGGTGCTATTGGACCTGGCCAGTCTGATCTTTGAGGAGCAACAGTGTCTGGAGGTCTTACTGAGGAAAATCGCAGGAACCATCCTGTCCTTCATGCAGGCCCAGGCTTGTACCGTCTTCATCGCTGATGACGACTCCATGGTCAGCACACACACAATAAAAAGAGGAATAAAGAATAGGATAACAATATTTGGAATGCTTAACAGCATTCCAACAATTAACTGTCATACACAGGGAGATTGATAGATGAGCTTGGTTGCAGTATTCCAAATCTTGGTTAAGGCTTCCAAAAATCAACTGCCGTTCAGCAACTCCAGTCTACTTATATTGAACCTGTACTTGGATTCAAACATTCCAAACATTAAGAAGTCTCTAAAAAAAAAAGTACCAGTAATATGCACACACATCTAGACAGGACACATTGAAATACCGCAGCAAATGTACTTGCTTTTGTCAATAGGCGTTTCTAAATTAGCAGTGTCTCTCAGGGAGCACTCTAGCTGCTTCTGACCTATGTTGGTTCTGGTCAACATTCTCCTTCTGCTTTTCAAAGCTCTCTGTTTTTCAAACCCAGACAGGCCACATGAGCAAAACATCAGATGACGCTTTTGGTGGGGCAGCAGATTTTCACTTTCTCCACTTTCTGGAAGGGTATAGGCAGGTATATCATCTTATAAGTCTTAAAATACTCGAGTAAGTGTGGCACATTGCAGTAATTTAAACTTGAGCAAATTTTTGGCCAATATGTAAATACTGGATGTCACCCATTGGTTTGTGGATTACGGTTTTGAAGTCTCAAGTTCAGCATCTTTACCGTCACCATCTCGTTTTTTTGGAATCGGAAGTGACATGAAAGGGTGGAGCTAAGCACAACCGAATGCTGAAGAAGGCATAAGCTCACCAAAATGTTAAAATGTACTTTTATGAAGTGAAAACTCACTGGGAAAGAGTTGCATGACAAAAACAAGGACAAAACCCAGGCCACAATGAGAAAGTGGCGGCCTGTCAATCACAAGGTAGCCCCGCCCCTAAAGCATCCCCTGCTTTATGGTCTGTTTATGGTCTCTAAATGGACCATAATGTACTAAATGAACATCATGCTGTATTGAAGAAGACTTGAAACTAGAGATTGAGACCATAAACTCATGTTTACAATGTTTACTGAGGTAATAAATCAAGAGAGAAGTAGAGTCATTTTCTCATAGACTTCTATACAACCAGACTTCTATTTTTCAACGAGGTCGCTCCTCGTTGAAAAATTGCAAGTTTCAGACACTTTTACGTTGGCTTGTCAGACCCAGAAGTTGCGGCCTGCTACATACACATACATATAGATCCTTGCTTTATTGCTATTAAATTAATTAATTGTATTATTGAAATGCTGGATCTGAAAACAATAACAGTATAAATCTCAAAAATATCAAAATAAGGTGTACTTAGGTCCACCTACAAGCTTTTTCTGGTGCTTTGAACGCATTTGGCCTTCATCTGCAAATGATGAATACTGAACTAATTCTAAATTGGTTCAGTTTTGATTGGGGTTGGTTTAGATTCCTCATCACTGATGAAGACTTTGAGATGGCATTGAAAGCTCTGGAAAAATGCAAGTGAGTGGGCCTTGAGTTATTTTTTCTGTCACTTTTAGTTGTTTGGAGGAACACACATGTACTTTTTGAACATATAGCATATAACTCTAGTTCAAGGGGAACTTTTAACCACATCACAAATAATTCATCAATGAACCTCTCATTGTTTGAATTCAGTTTGCTGACAGAGGGTTATTTGTCAAATGCTTTCGGGAGGGATTTCCTATTCTTGGAAAAATCAGGTCCGTACCATTATGAAGTCATATTGGAACCTTTGTTTCTCTGACAGTACTGCTTATTTTAGGCCTGATGTGTATGTCTATATCTGCATAAGAAATGTGTCCTGCACACACACACACACACACACAAACACACGCACATCCTTCAATACAACTTCCAGTCATTCTTAACAATTGTTTTAACACATTTATTACCATCAATCATGGTCTGATGTCCTCATGGTCAAGTTACTGCAAATACCTTTATTGAATATCATGTTATTGTACGTACTGATGCTACAAAATGTCAACTTCAATGCACATTATTGCCCATTTAGCAGTGGATGGGTTTTTATTTTAATTTCATTGGTAATGAAATATTTTTGTTTAAGTTTTTCCTTTATCAATCTTTTAATCAGTAAATATCCAGCCATGCAGGATGTCTTATTTCTCTGGCATTATTAATATTTTCCAATAAACATTTAAGTCATTTTCAATCCCACCACCAATTCCAACAACAAGATATCGGTTTCGCAAATTATCAACTACATTGCCAATTTACCATTCAATATTTGTGTTGAGGTCCGGGTGAACTGGATGGGGAATGCAATGCCATTGAAGTGGTTTATATTAGGTTACAAATAATTGTTGTTTAACTTTCTCTGGGTTTTACAGTATTACGTATAACCAGGTTAGACGTGCTGTGACGAAGGCTCTTGTTTGAACATTGCATTACAAACTGGCACACAGCAAAAAACTGAAATTCTGAGAAATGCAACGTAGAAAACCTGGTTGGTTTCAGGCACTTTGGACGAAACAACATAGCAACATAGCTCGTCTCTTTGATCCATGTCTTCATAACAGACAGAATTGACTCCTGCAACAGCATTCCTTATGGCACATAATCTAAAGTGCTAAATAAACTACACAAAGTACATCCAGAACTCTGTTGCTCTGCTCACCCATTCCCACTCCCGTGATCACATCACCTCTGTCCTCCAGAACCTCCACTGGCTCCCTGTCCCACAACAGATCCAATTCTAAGCCTTCTTCTGTCAAAAAGCCTTCCATAACCAGGAGCTTACTCCCCAAATACATCTGAAATGTACCTACCGGTCCATGTTAAAATTTTAGTTCAAAACTCATCTTTAAGAACTGCATTTAATGTGTGATTAATTATTGTGTTGAATATTTTTAGTGTGTTTTTTTATTTGATAGTTTTAACAGGTGTAAAGTGGCTTTGAGTGCTATGAAATGCTCTCTATGAATACATATCTTATTATAATTATGCTCCGTAGCAGGCTAATCTGGCCCTACGGTGTTGATCCAGAGAAACAGAATGTTGTTGATGATGTGAGCACCACAAACTAAATTCTGTTTACTTCCATTGAGTTGAGGTTTAGGCAGAAGTCTCATTGATAGATACTTCTAAACCTCGACAAATATAACAAAGTTACCTGGGTTAAGAGTCAAGATGCTTTATTTCATGTATGTACTGAGCTCCATAGGCTTTATTATACAGTGTGCATGTGTGTGTGTGTCCCTCACATGACCTCAGCATTGCCAGACCAGCTGTCTCCCTTTCTTTTATATCCCTCCCCGCTTCTCTCTCTTGTCTCTTTCCTTACTAAACATTTACTCTGAGATTAAGGACTTTTACAAGCCTTATCTGCCAGACGGCTTTCTATATACAGGTGTCAGCGTTAAATGTCTGCAGTTTCTCAAGTGGACCCAGGTCTTTGGATTTTAACGTAACCTTTACCCTAGGAAAGGAGCTTTCCTGTAGGAAGTCTAATGAATGACAGTGCTGGTCTTTAACACTCAAACGTACCAACAATAACACAGGAGTTTTCAAGATGTTGGTCTGCGTTGGCTCACTGTATTTTACTGCAGTGTGTGGCATCTGTTTAGAAACAGTGATGTGCTGTGTGTTTTGTTAGTATGTGTTTGCATCTGTCCATAATGCACTATGTCTGAGCGTGCCAGAATGTGTGTTTTGGTGTGTGGATGATGTGTGATTGGGTTTGACATCTGGCTCTCTACTGGGAGCGTTATGTTCTTCCTCCTTGACTACAGGTGTCCTGAACATATAAGGTGTACACGTTGAATCAATCTACAGTTGTTGAACAGCAAACCTACTGTTTTCTTCCACTCATGATTCATATTTGGTTTTCTGATCTGAAACCTCTAGCACTTTGTGAGGCTGAAGTTAGACATGGAGGTGCTTTTAGCCAAATGCTAAAATCGACATGCTAACCGTGAAAATGTTAGCATGGTAATTCAGATTTGTTTTTAAGAAGAAATTCGTAAAATTCCAAACTTGAAGTATAAAGAACAACTTTTACTTCAACTATATTGTGAGACCGACATGTTTCGGCCTGTGGCCTTTTATCAGGCACATTGATAGGCACACACCTTGAAAGTAGGTGAAGTTGTGGAAGAAATACTCTGCTTCTACAATTCTGCGAGACACTCACCAGAGAAGAACAACCCCCCATCAACAGCCCAGATGATGGCCAAAAGTGAAAATATGTTGGTCTCTAGTTAGAAAGCTAACATTTGCTTCTACCCACAACTAGTGTTGAGGCTAATGGGAATGGCTTTAGTTCGCAAGTATTTGGTCATAAACCAAAGTATTAAACAAAAATGAAGTTTTTACTTTTTGGTGATGGTAGAGTTATTATGACGCATCCTTTGGGCAACATGAATGGCTGTACCAAATTGCATGGCAATCCATCCAGTAGTTCTTCAGATATTTCTGACTGGAATAAAGTAGAAGACCAACATTGGTATCCCTTGAGCCACACTTTTACCATGGCTGACACTACTTGGTTCAGGCTGGTCTCATCCAGCATTCGTAGCAATATCTACGAAAAATAATGCACCGCAAGTTGTAGGTATCTCAAAATGTTTTGTATCCACGTAATCTTGAACGAGGACTTATAAAGACCTCTAAATCAGACACCGCACGGGCTTGAGGGGAGGTGGATGGGTCCAACAAACACAGTTTGTTCTCCAAGTTAAAGTTAATGGTTTTGTCTGGCACCTCCTTAGTTATTTTAACACAAACAAATGATCTGTTCCTAAACCTAACCAAGTAGTTTTGTTGCCTGTGAAGATGAAAGCAAATTTTTTCCAAGAACCTATGCATGTAGCGAGCAGAAATTTACACGTGTTCTACGGTTTTGTAGGAAAACAGATGAAAAATGAGGAGCACATTTTTGTAGAATATAATACGAACCGTTGTATGAGGATCAGTGGTGGGCCGTCAGGGCCAGCTAAGCCTTCTCTGCTGGCCTAAACAGAATCACAAAGTTATAGCTATTTTGTAATTTAATAATTTTTCACAAATACACTACATGTATTATAATTATTTTTCCCCATTAGCTTATTTTCTCATTGCACAGCTCCTGTCTTCCTCTGTTGCTCTGCTTCCAGCCTGCAGCGCTGCTTCCAGCACAGCTTGTTTTAAGGAGAGCTTTTATCCAATCAGATTCAGCACCTATGTCTCTACGTAAGGAGAGAGGCCCGAGGCCCGAGGCCCGCTAGAGAGCCTTTGCAGATTAAAGTAAATGGGGACGATATTGTTGATTGTCATAGTCTTCAACCAATCAGATCTTTAGTTTGACATGTTGGGCGTATTCTTTGACGTGCCAGTGGTACCCAGGTAGCCTCCTAAGTACGTCTGCATTAACGTGTGCCGTGATTGGCCAGTGGGCCAGTGTGACTTTTGTCAAACAGAAAGCTAGATAGCAGATCTTAGTGTTTAGTAAGAGTTCAGTTTGAAACATATGAAAGAGAAGTTATGACATTTTTAGCATTTTGCTTGGTGTTGATTCTTTTTTTTTTTTACCTAGCTTTGTTTTTTTAACACAATGGCTGAAGGAGGAGAAACGGATTTGGGAGTTACTGACTTTGTTAACAAAGAAAGGAGGATGGACTTTGTCTTTAAGTGAACAGCAGCTTTGGTAAGTGAACTGCTTTTGTTTTTTTACATCTGCAGTAGCGTTACTACTGTGTTCATTTGTCTATCGTGTCGTTTTTATGAATAATATGAATGGCTCGTGCGCTAGCGCTGCAGTGTTGCCGGATTGATTTTGTCATGCTTGACATTTTATGTTGTCGTATAAATATATGACAATATTTACATTACATTGTTTCTGACTTCTCTGTTAATGACGAAGCATCCCGTCATTGCAGGGTTATTTCGGATATTTGATTCTCTTTGAATCAGCAGAGAACAGCTAACTGCTATTGTTTCCCCGCTAGCCTCCCTGAACACACGTGCGGACCTCAGCTGTTTTTTGTTATTGTTCCGGGTTGAAAAGGTCACACAGCCCGTTGTCTGTTACGTGAGCGCAGTCCACAATTTAAGCTTCTGCATTTTCCAAAAGCACTAGTATTATTCAAACGTCTTGTTCGGTTCGTAAGCCTCGTACCGAACGGTTTAATATGAATATGTGTATTATTACACCCCTAGAAACAAATAACCGTGGCATCATGACACCACAGTAGGACAGCACAGAAGGCCCAGGCATAAAATGCACGGCCCGCCACTGATGAGGATACTGTAAGGATTACAAGTACATGAATCAAAAAGCACGACACAGAGACAGGGTACAAGTATAGTTTACTTGAGTACAGGCAGGGTCAAAATCAGGAGGTCCGTCAAAAAGGCAAACAAATCCAACAAGGGGAAGGCAGATAGTCCAAGGTCGAAAAAACAGGCAGGCAGGGTCGGCACAGGCAGATCAGGAATAGTAACAAGGATAACGCTGGAGAGCTTGGCAGTAACACACAAGACAATCTGGCAGGGATCAAGTGCACGTGAGCGGACCTAAATAGTGAGGGACTAATGAGGGAATGGGCTGCAGGTGAGATGGGCGTGGAAGACCAGGTGAGGGAATGAGTGATAATAGGGTGTCGGTGGCAGGACCTGAAACGACAGGAGAGTTAGAGAAACAATCTAAGATGATGTGGAATTTGTGACAGGTATGTTGCTTGGTTATGGTTAGAGAAAGATTGCAGTCATGGTTACAAGAAACCAATGACTGTTAGTTAGACACAGGTTGCAAAATGGTTTCTTGTGTCAAAGTTATAAGCTTTGATGACCTGAACTTCTCCTTGAAATGATTTCGCAAAAGAATTGTCTACTTCTGCCTTTGCTTATTAAGAACCATACTTGCAAGTACAACTGCAACAGGTTATTTGCTATGAAAGCATCTGGTTAGGACGGTGTCAGACTTCTTTCCTCATGTTTTCTTTCTTCAATGCTTGGCTCCACTACACATAAATCATTGTGTTATGGATTGAGAAAATGACTGGAGCTCCATGATATAACGTGAACAGACTGCATGAGATTGATATATCTGCCACAGATGCTGATAACTGCATGCAAAAACCCTCACGTACATAACCAGAAAAAACATTCTTTGACCTTCCTTGACATGTAAAACCTTGACTGATGCTTCCAAAGAAGACCAGCGAGATTTATTTCAATATTCCTACATGCAGGAAAGAAAATTCCATTATCTTGTGTTATCCTGTTATAAACTTTATTGCTTGACAGAGACACCAATGAATGTCATAACATTGCCAGGTCTCTTTTCTGTTTAAAACAGCTTTATTACCCTCACCTAGATCAGGATGAACTAATGCGATAGAGTGAAAGTGTGTGTATGTGCATGCAAGGGTAGAGGGGAGATTTTTCCAAAACCAAGAAGCCTTGTCCATCTTTAACATCCTGTCCCCACATCTTAAAAACGAAAAAAAGGATCCATTGCGAGGGTTTGGGAGTGCAGGTTGAGAGAAAACAAGTCCTTATAAGGTTGGGAAATATGAAACGAGCACTGGAATGTCGAAATAGAATCCCTCTGACAAGGCTTGATGGGTAATAACACCTTGGAGAAGTTATTTAGGCAGTGTGTGCGATACCACTGCTTAACTTACAGTATTTGGATGTTGGGATTAGCGGTAATGACTTAATTGGAGGGAATGATATGTTGATTTGGAAAGAAAAGATGCAGGGTAGACCTGCAGCAAAGCACGTAAGACATTTTTATGAGGTTAGAATCAAGACCAATTAAGACCCTGTATTTATTCATCTGTTGCCACCTGATTGAATGAAACGGTATTATGCCAAGTACATTTTGCCCCCAAGCAAGTCATAGCAACAGTGCTCAGACTGTAAAACCTTAGTCACTAACTTGTTTTTAATCTTTTTGCAGAACTCCTTCTCCAGTGTCTTTTATATGGAATACGAGGAGCTACGTGAAGTCCTCGATGCCCCCAAAAGGTAAGGTCTTCAACTGAAAACCGTTATTTAATTAAATAATCAATGCACATTGACCTTGAGACCTACTCCATCTGTTTCTACCAGTTATTAGCGCTAATATTTCCTTGAATTTGCAAACCACCCCAGAGAGGCCCTTAGATGAGGTTTGTGTAGCAGGCACTTGCATGAGGAGTCATTATCATCATACAGCATATTCACAGAGGGAGAATCAGAAAAAAGGTCGTAAAAGTCTCATCGTGCCCAATCTTGTATTTCAAGACTAAAGACAAGACGGAGCTGCTCAGTCCAACTCTCATAAGTTTGTAGAGCTGATTTGCAGTCCCATGGGATCTTCATCAGATAATTGACTTTCTTCACCTGCCAAATAACCAGACATTTGATCGCCAGCTTTCAGCTCTTAGCTCCTTTTCTTAGCCAGGCTCTTCTGGCTCATTACACTATCTTCAGGGTTCATTTGACGGCTCCTCAATCACACCCTCTTTATCATGATGAAGTGGTCCCCTTTGACTGTCTTTGAGGCAGTCGAGACCTTTCCAAGTGGATATAACAGTCGTCAGTCACGCACACAGACACAGTGGTTTTGAGGTCAACAAGCACTCTTATTGCATGTGACAGCTAAATGAGTTGCATGTGGAGTAGCCCCAGTCCGAGCCTCAGTCTCCCCAGTCCTGTTTCCCTGAGCCCTAGTCTGAGCCTCAGTCCCCCCAGTCTTGTTTCCCTGAGCCCTAGTCCGAGCCTCAGTCCCCCCAGCCCTGTTTCCCGGAGCCCCAGTCCGAGCCTCAGTCCCCCCAGCCCTGTTTCCCTGAGCCCCAGTCCGAGCCTCAGTCTCCCCAGCCCTGTTCGTCTGAGCCCCAGCACTTCCAGTCTGAGCCCCAGCCCCTCCAGTCTGGCTCGTCTGAGCCCCAGTCTGAGATCACGTGTCCTGAGAAACTCGTGCCGTTCGGCCGTCCCCCGGAGTCCTTCTGCCCATCCGGCCGTCCCCCGGAGTCCTTCTGCCCGGCCGGCCGTCCCCCGGAGTCCTTCTGCCCTTCCGGCCGTCCCCCGGATTCCTTCTGCCCGTCCGGCCGTCCCTCTGCCCGTCCCCCAGAGCCCTTCCAGACACCCCTCCTCCAGACCCCTCCACCCACCCTATTGGACTTTTGTATCTGTTGGGACGTCTAGAATCCGTCCCTTGAGAGGGGGGGTTTTGTCACGATTTATGTTTTGAATTAGTTATTTATTCTGTTTTATTGAGATGTTCTGTGTCTTGCACTTTATTTCCTGCCTTTGTCTGTCTTACCCCTGTGATGGTCTGCCCTTCCCCTAATCAGACACTGCTGCGTTCAATCACCTGCACCTCCTCAGTCTGCTTCACTTCACTTTCTGCCCCTGTCTGTTCCTCTCGGGATCGTCTGCCCCACCCTTAATTGAAACCTGCTGTGTCTAATCACCTGCACCTTCCCTGTGTATTTAAACCCTGTGTGTCCCTTGGCTCAGTGTTCGTTCGTCTTTGGTGTAACCTGGTCCGTCTTTCATCTGCCTGCCATTTCCGCTCGGTACGTTTAGTGTCTGCTCCACGTTGCCGTGTTCCCTGTTTCTTTGGATGTTTTATTTTCATGGACTTGTGATTCACACGTTTTTGTGTTGAACACTTTTTTGTTACAATTAAACCCACAATTATCCAACCCTCCGTTTCCCGAGTCTCCCTGCATTTGGTTCCAGCCCTTTCTTTTCTGCAAAAACCTTACAATACAGCTGACAGACACTTTAAGTTGCTATGTGAAGAATCAATGATACATTGTCACATTAAAGTCATTGTGATGAGTCATACGAGAAAAAATGATAAATTGATCTGCATTTTTAAAGCACCTTAGTCTTCCGACCACTAAAAGTGCTTAACACTACATAGCTGTGGATCGAACTGCCAGTCGTCCTATTAGTGGATTACACACTCTTCCTCCTGAGCCCCAGGAAGGGGGCACAAGGAGCCACATGTCAACAGTCAAATTGTTATAGCACAGTCCACATCAATGTCCCTGGTTTGATTTTGATTTTGAGATGGGGACCTGTTCTTTTTCCTGTTTCTCTTTTAGAAATGTTAATGTCTCATAAACAGCCCAGTAATCATAGAGAAACAAGGAAGGACACAAAGAGAAAATAAAGATCGGCCAATCAGAGAACCAAATGATTTAACAATTTACAGTAGAGGGTCGGTATGAGAAGAAAATGATTGAAGGAGGCTGCAGCAGCAGAGCTTCCTGACATCAACTTGAGCTCCAGGAGGAGTGAATAAGCTGTAATCTGATTTAAGATGCAATGAGATAGAAATCCCCCCCCCCTCCCCTCTTGTCTCCAGGGCGGCCTGGCCTCCCCAGTTGCTACGCAGCATCTAAAATTCAATGCATAAATAAACAAATTCACAAATGTCAAATCTCAGTTTGCTGTGGCTTAATCAAGCCTTCCTGTGTCGGGCTGTGAGTATCCATCACCTATGATTGTATTATGAGGATTGTTAAATGAGCAAGTGAGGATTCTTATGAGGGAAAACCAAAACCTTTTTTGGGGGGTTTTAAATAATAAATCTTTGGTTTGACAAAGAAAGAATCCTGACTCAAGGTCCACTTACTAGCATATTTTCCAAAGCTTTCAATCTCACCTTATGTTCTTCATCCACGGATGGAGTTTGCTCAGTTGTCACCAAGATGGTTCAGTTGTTGATGGTTCAGTCACGTTATGACATAACAGATGACAGTTGAGCAGCTAATCAAACTCCATGGGCTGATGAAGACCATGAGATGTTGAATTGTTAATAAATAATAGTCCCCAACAATAGCAGTTTGAGTAACGTTTGATAAAAACTACGTCGCCCAGCTGTTTTTATTACTGAGCCCTATTCAAAAATGAAAGGCTGTAGGAACCAATGGGCTTGGGGCTGCGTGCCACAGATCTTTTTAAGGGATTTGTTGACAAAAACACAATCTGAAATAATACCAGACACAGTTTAAGTCCAGTACTGTGCATAAGGCCATTAAAGACCAGAACATGTATTTTTCAAAGACAGGAGGCTCACAGTTATTACTGATATATGTGTGTGTGATACATTGTCCTGACAGCAGGCCAAACAATCAGGTTTTATTGACTCTATTTTCACACTTCTACGTGCTCCAGGCAGAGATGCAGCAAAGAGACGTCAAGTCAATACAACCTGATCCCATCTTGTTATTGGTAAAACAGATAGACCTGTCACATCTTGTGAGCTTCCTGTTTGAACGGAGATTGAAGACAGTTTTCCAGTCACTGGATATTATGCAAAGTAAAGCATTATATCTGTGTGCACATAGAGCTCAGTATGTAGGTGACCAAGCAAAAGAAAGCGAAAATGGCAGTTGTGAAAATCCAACCCTGTCAGGGATGACACAAACCAGATGTCTTATCTTGTCTCGTCCTCCATAACATCTTGTTTATTTACAGCCTGCTCTCATAGGTGTCTCCCTCCTGTTTAGATCTAATAACGTCCTTTGAATATGGCCGTGTATTTGTTCTTCCTCTGGGAGGACTAAGATTTAGCAAAATTGTGGCTCCAACTGGGCCAACGCGGGAGGGGAGGGGCCGTGCAGGATGTTAGCTTTGACCGGCTGGAACCACAGGAGGCTTTTTATAGTGACATTAACCTGGGGCTGCGGCTTTACAATGATACGGCGTCAGTTTCGTCGAAGCAGGAAGTTCAGTCGAGCTGAACCACAACAGTCCAAGCATTTCAAGATTACAAAGTAGGGCAATTTCTTGCCTTTTTCTGGATCTGGATTTGGATTGTGGCCCTGAATTGAAAGCCAACGTGGCACTGTCATGGTTTTTAGTGATGCCGGTAGCTATTCTGTGGCCTCATTTAAGTTAATCACAGAGAGAGGGAAAGGAAATGTGGATTTTAGTCTGTTTGGGCAATTAAATTCAAGCACAGATGCATGGGCTGTGCTGCATGTCTGTCTGAAGTGTGTGTGTGAGAGAGAGAGTTGAGGCCAGTCAAGACAGAACACGTTATATTTAGCCCCAAGTCTTAAAGTCATTCAAAATAAAAACTCTGTTCATGAATAGGATGTTGAAAACTAAGAAACACACACATGCACACTGATATTCTTATCTGCAGTGACTGAAGTATATTTTACTTAAGTAAAAGGGGAAATACCAAAGTTGAGAAATTCTCCACTCCAAGTACAGGGCCGTCTATTCACACTCCTTAACAATATTTGCCGTTAATGCCTTGTAATGCTAATATCTGCAGAGGATAAACTGAAAACTATACCTCTGTCAAATGACACTATAAGTAGAGGAATTGAAGACATGTCGGATGAAAGACTGTGGTCTTTCAAACAACAGACCACAGCTCGAATTTAGGCAAGTGGTCATTTTACAATCTACAGACATAACAAACAAAGCAGTTTTACTGGTTTACGTGAGACATGTGTGGGACGGGGACTTACAGGAACAAGTTCTCTGCACAAGAGAGCTCCCTACACTACGACTGCAGAGGACATTTTCAGCTCAGGTTCAAACTGCACCATCTTTACATTAAATACATTTGAGAAGTTGAACATTTTCCTCGATTTGGGTCGCGGCTTGTCATTAAGGTGTGATGGTGGGTCCCGCAGCCAGACCAGTTGAGAACCACTGCACTAACACACTCATGTTTTCAGCCACACACATACCGTGTGGCCGCAGCACTACAGCCAAATTCCGCTGGCTTTTGCTCTAACCTCATGTTATGTTTATGTATCCATTTGCCATCATTTATCATGCAGTATTATAACCAACTCTGTGGTTGAACTTGGAGACACTAAAGAAAAGAAACAAGCTTATTAAGCGCTGACAGGTGTGACTGACGGGGGTGGGTGGGGGTGGAGGTTGGGGGGATTGAGGACAGGTGCAGCTTCCCAGCTGCAGTTCTGTCATTAACCAGGAGATGTTTTATTATTCATTGCTGTTAGCCTGAAGCTTAAGGAAGCAGGTTTGGGTTTAGGGTAATTATGCTTGGTAGATTGAATTCAAGGAGCAGCGGGGCAAAGCTGTGTCTCCAAGAAAGTTACTTAAAGTGTCAAATTACAATGCGTCATTTTGAAAAAGCCACTTGGTTACACAGAACAGACACAGTTAGAGACAAGCTGGAGCATTTAGCAGCTAAAGAGCTAAACAGAGAGTAATATTGGAAAGGTTTGCATTTTCTTCAGAATTTTTAAAATAAAGTTGTTGGATTTGAATGACATGTATAGATACATAACATTCATATGGCAGATGCTACCAAAGCGAATTAAGGTTAAGTGTAAAACTTCACACAAGGTAGATCTCTTTTAAAATTAGAGGTGCAGGCGAGCTTGGTGTTTCATTTCATTATGCGCAGTTAGTTATGGGGTTGTTTGTGTTGTTGTGTGTCTCCTCAGGGACTGTGATGTCAGTCAGATTAACTACATGTATGCCCAGTATGTCAAAAACACCATGCATCCTCTCAACATTGCAGACATCACCAAGGACCAACGCTTCCCTTGGACAGTCAGTATATCTTTTCTCTTCTTTTCTTTTTTTTTTGTTCTTTTTCCTAAGTGAGTAATTATCCCTCTTGTATTCTGACAGCGGGAAAACCCACATCACACCAGCAACCAGATAAAGAGCTTGCTCTGCACTCCCATCAGGAATGGCAAGAAGGACAAAGTCATAGGTGGGATCTCTTTCTCTCTCTCTTTCTCTGGTGGAGCGCGTTTTAAAGCGCTAAACCTGGGCTTAAACCACTCTTTTTCATCTGTTCATGACAGTAGCTTAGCTGCAGTAAGATCTGTTGGGAGACAACTAGCATGGACTGATATTTGTTTTCAAGATGCACTGATTAAAAAGATAAGATGCTGCACAGACCCAGAGAGAGATGAGCACTGTGGACTGTCCCAGATTGCTTAGGTACTTAAACTGTCTCTGTGGTTTCCCAGTTACTTTTCAAGGTTGGAAGCTTTAAAAATCTGAAATCATAGGACGGAGAACACATTAAGCCGGCATCGCGCTGCCACTTTCATTAACCTCCATGAATGGTCCTGCCACTCCACCCATCACTGTGATTATCATCAGCATAATCAGCTGATAGCAGCTCCATTAGTTGGCTATGAAGATGACTAATGACCGTGGATGTCCCTCAGTGATCAAACAGAACAGGTCCTCACAGCCTCTCCTGCAACCTGTAAGAGTCCTGATGATGAGCAAGATCAAAACAGCTCAGTGCATTACAATGATATTCATTCAGGCTAGCTCTTTTTTTGCTTCATGAATACATTATTAGCATTAGAGATGCAATGTTCTGCTCTGTGTCCTTATAAGGCACAGGTTTGTGTCAGGTGTAAACAAAAATGGCAATTGTATCTCATTCTCATGCCAGGCGACAGCCTTGCTATTATTTTTCCGTTTGTCTTGGTACAAACGTCCTGTTCATGCAAGATATACTGATAAGAATTTGGTGACCTTTGCCATAACAAAATAATTAAAAAGTTAATATCACCCAAATGTCTAATAGGATAAAATGATAAAGTGGTGACTCTTTGAACTGGTTGGTAACCTAGCCTTGGCTAACACATTAGCATGGAGAGCCAAAACCAATGATCTACTGAACACATGTGGAGTGCTTTAAACTAGGGTGCTGTTTACAAGAAGTGTCCATCTTAATTAACCACTCTTGTGGTATTCACAGCATCATGCATGTTTTTTTGGTTTAAGTTTTTGGTATACTAATATTTTAAGAAATTATTCTTGTCGTTGTCTACTTCCTGATTGAAATTACAAAGAAATCTCACAAAAAGAAAGTTTGAAAAATAAACTTTTTTATCGGTCACATAGCAACTGTGTTCTTACTTCAACCACTTGGACACAAAACATAAAGTGTGCTGAACAACTGTGTGTGTCTATGTAGGTGTATGTCAGTTGGTGAACAAGATGGATGAAGCACCAGGCACTGTGAAGGCCTTCAACAGGAACGATGAGCAGTTCCTGGAGGCATTCGCCATCTTCTGTGGTCTCGGCATCCAGAACACACAGATGTATGAAACAGTGGAGAGAGCAATGGCCAAGCAAGAGGTCACTCTGGAGGTCAGCCTCTCTCTCTCTCTCTCTCACACACACACACACACACACACACCTTAAAACTATGATTTCAGTGCATAAAAAGTAAAGTAACCCATACTGAACTGGGTACTGATCAAACAGGTCATAGTTTCAGATAATGCTTAAACCTTGAGGGGTGTAATTTATTGCATCATCACATATTGCTTTATTCATATTGGTGGGATGTCAGTAAATTCTCAATGACCTTTATTTACCTCGAATGAAAAGAGAGACCTCTGTCTTATAAGTAGATTTTGTCATATAGTAATGAGAGGCTGCTTAGTTTTCTCATCTAATAAACATCATGCCCAGTTTAGGGAGGGCTTAAGAACAACATAACAAACTCCTTTTCTCCAACTTTTAGAACCAGACTACAGAGACTGATGTTCTTATTTTTAGAGATGTGTCAAACTGTTTATTTATAGTTTCATAGGATTTTTAAATGGGATTAGCTTCAGAATGGGCAAAGCTAAACTAACACAGAAAACATATGACCTAAAAAGATACAGCATGATGAAATTAAACATAAAAACTGAATTACAGTTGATATACATCATTTAAACAATGAAAAAAGAACACAATCTAAAATTAAACTGGGCCTTTATGCTGAAAAATAGAGTGATGAAAGAAAAATAACAGCAATGTAAATACTGAAACACAAATATGTCATTTCAGTGTGTATATGGCATTTAGTTGTGACGGTTAAGATTAGGTGCAAGGGACTGCATCCTCACTAATAGAAAAGTATAGAAAAGTACAGTGTGTGTGTGTGTGTGTGTGTGTGTGTGTGTGTGTGTGAGTGTGTGTGAGAGCATCTCTGATAGAGCTGCATGTGGGTGTGTGAGTGACAGTGACGAGGCCATGCTGGAGGATTTATCAAGCTGCTTCTTGACACTCCTGCTTTCAGCCTCTGTTCACGACTTGCAGAAAAGCACAAAGTCATTAAAACCGAGCCCCCACACACACACACACACACACACACACTGTCAGTGTGTCTTGACTGTTACACTTTCTATTCAGTCTAGTGTACTTCCCCTCTCCACGTTCAGTGGGGACGCTGGTACTCAGTGCTCCAGCCATAGATGCATGACAGTCTTTGAATTACATCTTTCAACGCAGACTACATCAGATATTTTTTTTTCCGGAAAGCAATTCTCCAATCGATAAAAACTTTAACGCAAGATTCCTTCTGGTGATTCAGGGTCATGTGAGCTAAACCTTTGCGTTTCTGGTAATCAGCAGATTTTGCAGCAAGTTGACAAGTGGTGTTCATGTCATTTCATCCAATATTCATTTTATTATGAACACCGTTGACATTTAAAAATGTCGACCTGTTGATGCAAAGATGCAAAACTTCAGTCTTACCATAAAGCAGTCCTGCTCATTGATTTGTAACATTGCCTGGACACATTGGAGGTACAGGAAGCATGGCGTAAACAGAATGGTGAAATCTATTTGTGTTGTCTCACAATCAGGTGTAAATTCTTAAATCCCTACGTGGGGCTAAAATCAGGGCTAGTTTCATGCTAACAGTACATTCAAACAATGTTTCGATAAAGTGAGCGCTATGCTAGCTGTTTACACTAATTTGGGTGGTAGCAAGCCGCATGTAAGTCTCACACTATCAAATCAACATTTCCATTTAATTGCCACAGCCTTGTGTTTTTTTAGACAAAAGACACAAGGCTGTCTTGCTATACTGAAAACTTCAGAGCAGAATGTCTTTTTCATATTTTGTATTTGATTGACATGTTTAGTGGATGAGCAGCACCACTTTTTCCTTTCTTCCCTGTCAAAAGCTTTTTTATCTTTATCTTTATATGTTGTTTTGGCTTCCTTGCAACATCAGAGAACTCTGATTTCTGGTTTCTTCATTATTACTAAATGGGTTAGGGTTAGGGTTAGTGTTAGGCAAATCATGGTAGCAGTGGGCTAAACAAAGTGGTCCAGATAACCCTCTCCCCAGCAACATTTTCTAGCTACTCCTGGGGGATGCTGAGCCATTCCCAGGCCACATGAGACATAAAATCCCTCCAGCGTGTTCTGGGTGGGTGTACCCGGGGTCTCTTAAATTTGACTTAAGGAAAACCTCCAAAGGGACACCCAGGAGGCATCCTGATCAGATGCACCCACCACATCTTCTTTCAATGCAAAGGTGCAGGGACTCTCCTCCAAGCTTGATGTCCGAGCTTCTCACCCGCTATCTAAGGCTGAGCCCTACGGAAGAAACTCATTTTGGCTCCTTGTATCCGCAATCTCATCTCATCTCACTACCCAAAGCTCATGACAATAGGTGAGGGTTGTAATGTAGATTGACTGGCAAATCAAAGGCCTTGTCTTCCGGCTCAGCTACCTCTTCACCACAACGGTCCAGTACAATGCCTGTATCACCGTTGACACAGCATCAGTCCACCTGTCCATCTCATGCTCTGTTTTACCTTCACTCGTAGAGATCCTGTGACACTTAAACTAAACTCCCAACCCAGAGGGAGCAATACACCATTTACCGGCAGAGAACAATCTGAATGTCGGAGAGTGCTGAATTTCATGATCTAAAGAAATCAATAAGAACCACATCGTCTGCAAAGAGCAAAGACACAATTCTTCGCCTTGAAATCCTGTTAATGAACATCTTAAACAGAAGGGACAACCTTAATGGTCAACATCCATCAAAAACAGATTTGACACATTTGACTCACCACCACGTTGTGCTCAGTTGACAGCTCTGCTCTTTACTTCTCCCAAGTGTCCAAGACATACGGCCGCAGATCTGATCACAAAGTAGATCATCAATCTTTCGCCTAGGGTGGTATGGTACCACTTATGAATCGCCCAATGCTCAATCATGGTGTTTGTTATGGCCGATGAATCAGGCATCCCGTTCCTCCCAGTCATCCCCCTCCAGGGTTCTCCATCGTTGCCCATGTGAGCGTTGAAGTCTCCCAGCAGAGCTATAGAGTCCCTAGACAGTTTCCTTTTTAGGACACCACCCAAAGACTCCAAGAAGCCCGGGTCCCCAAAACTGTTGTTTGGTGCATAATCACAGACAACAGTTTTGAGACTCAACACACAGTTGGATAGAGAAGTTTTTTTTTTTTTCACAAACATTTTTCTCCGTCTCCGTTGCATATTTAAGACTTATTGTCATTGTGTTTTAATTAATGTAACCATTTAAACTTAAAAGCAAAAAAAAGAAAATCATCAAAAAGAATTGGAGATGCATGTCAGAGAGCAGTTGTATAAGCCTGTATTCTACAGAGAACCTATTATGACCCAAAGTCTGCATACCTCATCTTTGCTTATGTGCGTGTATTTTCCAGGTCTTGTCGTATCATGCCTCTGCCGCAGAGGAAGAATCGCGGGAACTCCAGGTAACCGCGGTAAATTCAAATTTATTAATTTAACCATATACACTTACATGCCCACATGAACATTAGTTCCCACTCATTCATTGGTTATTAAATATACAGACACACAGAGGAAGCAGAGTTTGTGTAGAAAAGAAGCAGTCATTTAGCACAACACCACACTGCTGAATCAGCAAGAAAGCGCCAGTATAGCAACTCTATATGGCTGCTTTCCTCACAAACACACATGCACACACACTTGTGTGGAAACCATTATAACACTAAATGCATTGAATTTATTTACCTTGAACAATGGACTGACTGACATGGGGTATCCTTTTGAAGTATTCAGGTACCTATTATTTTTAACCCAAATAATGAAAAATCCAAGCTTTCCTAAAAAGTCTGTTGTCTAGTCAGTTATGACTATAAAAGTTGACTTCTCAGAAAACAAAGAAAAAAAAAAACAGAAAATATCATTTTCATTTTAGAAAATGTGACATTTTGGTTTTAGATTTTTTTATGAAGCAAAGTTAGATTTTTTTCGAATAAAATAATGTTTCTAAAATATTTTAAAAGACAATATTCAGAAAACAAAAACACATTTTTGAGATTGTTTAGTTAACACACCATTCAGGAAATGAACACAAGTTTTCTGTGTTGTTGTTTTTTGCTCATGAACATTTTTCAGAGATAAAGTAGACAGTGTGACCAAAGTATATTTTGTGCTGCTACCTACAGTAAGTTTAAAATCACAGAGGCAGTTTGTGTTGCAGTGGCAGAAAGTGGATACAATTACACACATCACATCCTTCCCTGTTTGCAAGTTTCAAAGAGAGACCAGAAAGTGTTGTATTTTATGTCAGGGTTTAGAGGCCAGTTGTTCTTTTGTTTCACTTTCAATGCAGAAGAAAGTGTTTCAAAGCTCTCCTTATTCACAAACACTTTCCTGTGTAGTTATTTCCAATGAATATACAGCAGAATCACAGTGAAGAGTTTGTAATATGCAGAGAACCAGACTAACAAGGTATTTGGTCTTTGTAGCCAGCAGCCAAGTGTTTGGCTGCTGAGCAGACAGCCTTGTAGATAAGTGGTCAATAATAAAGTTATTTTATATTTTATATTTGCCTAGCCATGTTTTAATGAAAGTGTTATGATGAATTCATCATTTAATTGTCCCTCAGACATCTCTATAGGACTGTGTCCTCCACAGTTCAGACTGCTCAGCAGCTCTGACTCTATTGAGGCAAAGCAATCTGCCTCCATAGTTTCATTCATCCAAGGATTCCCTTCTGTCAATCTAGCCTTGGAAAACAATCCTTACCTTTTGCTTTTAAGAGCAATTTAACTGCTTTTATATAAAGAAAATGCATTCTAATACTGCTCATGTTCTTCGCAAAACTGTCACATGCACATTATTGTTCTCACTATCTCTTTACATTTACATTACAACTCTAAACAAGACTATGTTTCTCTGAATTCAGGATAACAACCAGAGATTGGATACTATACATTTCTATCGTTATTGGCGGCCTTCCTGACCGCTCAAATCAAAGAGAATGTGACATATTTTGGGCTCGTAGAGTTCAAAGCACTGTGACAAATTGTTCAGCCTGTATTTCATGTGCACAGAACTGTTGTTGTGATTTACTTTGTAAACTGTGACCATAATCCATTGATAGTACCACAAAGTGACTGCATGTTATTATCTAACTCATATACTGTTAAGTTACTCTACCACTGTTGGATGGTATTTTGGACACAGCTTTGTAAAAATATACATAAATACATTTCAGGTTAAATACTAAATATTGTTGTCAAATTATATAAATAGAACTATTCACACCACACTCACCATTTACACAACTAAATGGCATTAAAAGTTATGACTGACAATGACATCATACAGATAATAATGATTCAATGGATAGCAAAAGGTAACCTTCAAACAAATTCACCTTTATTCTCTTGCTGAAACAGCTACATTTCAGTTCTACTTGATATATCTAAATATTCCCTGTGGACTTTTCTTGTAAATAAATACAGTACATTTTTTTTAATTATTGGAACCTGCATTGTGTGTGGAATACTATGCAATCATCTGCATAAATGTGCATTTCATTAGCTCCTTGCCTAGGCGCTAACTTGCTTGTCCTTATGAGCCTGCTGGTAGCACATGAGAACAAACGGACCAGCGGCCTGTTCACCAAAACATTGCTCACTAGCACCGTTGGCGGTCAAAAACTCAACAGGTTACCTTTTAAGTTTTACTGTAGAACACACTGTGATTTTCTTTATTATAAGCTACATTTCTTAGTTTGATCTAAAATAGATGAGTAATATTTGCAGGATAGTTTCTATATATATTTGTTAGTTATCCAGGTCTTTACAAATTTGAAGTTTTTTTTACTGGATGGAAATTCAATGCAGTTTTTTCCAAACTGGATACTTATTTTTGCTAAGAAGCTCTGCTATAGTATCTATCAGTAATATAAACATTGTACTCAGCCATGTGATTGCTGAGATCTTGGAACAAGTTCCAATGGTTTAAGAAACACTAGCAATCAGATGATTATACAGGTTGTAAACATGCATACAACAGTTCAGCCATCTTAGCCATCGTTTTATTCAGAGGTGAACTAGTGAGTATACTCTTTTCATGTCGCTTTACTGGCTCCCTCATTGGACAGGAAAACCATTAGTCCACACAACTATGTTAAGTACAGTAGATCTGTGATGTATATTTACAACGCACATATATTTACCTTTGGCCTTTGTTTCCTCTTTCAATTAAGGATGATCTACCTCTTTGTTTATGAGCTGTCTAATCATCTGACCGCTTATTTTTCTTGTCCCATGAGATCTATTTTTAGAGAATATCGAGAACAATGTCTCTTACTGTTGATGCATGGTAATAGATCAAAACATGTGCTGCACTGTAAGTGAAAATTATTTATTTATATATATATATATATATATATATATAAAATCAGTCTACAAGCAGGAATTGGAGGGAACCCACTCTCTTGAACCTATTGTATGATTGGTGCTCTGGCTTTGTGCATAAATTACACAAGAAATCAAATATTATATCGCTGCAGCCAGACTGTTTTATGATTTGTTTTTACTACACTCACTTGTAAGTATCGAACTGGTTTTCTGACAGCACATCAAGGCAAATTTCCAAACATGAACCAATCGGTGCAGCCCAGCTTTCACACCAGTCACACTTTCAACAGTGACAGCACATCACCATCTCAAAAGTTCCTGTTCTGTTCTCCTCTCCATGTGGCAAAGTGTCTGAACTAACAGCATAACCTGATTAAGAGGCCTCCCTCGGGTGCCAGAGACAGGATGTGTCACTTGGTATCTAGGACACAGGCTTGATTTTATGGGTACGTGCCACCCAAGGGACTGCTACATACAGTATGTGTTGATCATCATAGGTAACAACAGTGAAAGCTGCTACTGTAACGGCAGCAATAATTTTATGTCAGTCATGTCATATCAAGTGAAATAAGAATTAAATTAAGAATCTGTAAAATGATGACCATAATTAAGTCAAACTAAATAATGCAGATGATACACATTCATATTCACGCCTGTTTATCATTGAATCTGCAGCCTCCCTGAATGTATTTGTGTGTGTGTCTCTTTGAAGGTATCCACAGTGCCGTCAGCCCAGTCGTTGCATCTTCTGGACTTCAGCTTCAGTGACTTTGACTTGTCAGACACCGAAACCACGCAGGCTACTATTCGTATGTTTGTCGACCTCAACCTGGTCCAAAACTTCCAGATGAAGTACATGGTAAGAAGTGACCTGGGATGTTATTAAAGTAGATTATACGTAAGCATTTCCCATTAAAATGCTTGAGATTGACCCTGTCCATCTGCTCATCTGACACATTGGTCCACAGCAAGATATCTGGACACATACTGGACAGATTTTCAGCTTAGTTGTGGACATTCTTGGTCACCACAGGATGAACCTCATGGTCACTTTCAAGTTTTCACATGGACACAAGATATACTAAAAAGCTCAAAATGACTGAACACAGTCATTTTCACAGACGATGAACCTTTTTCACTTTGTTCACATCATAACCGTTCCTCCAGCACCGTCCTCACCTCAGAACAAAATGGCAACTCTGTAAGAATGTTACACGTTACTACATGAACACAGGTATTTCCAAACCCAAAGTGGAGACAAAGCCTGCATTACATTACAATAAAGTACAAATTCTTTATTCCAGTTTAAATGACATAAAAGCTAAATAAGACACTTGGTGATAAACATCTCACTTCTATGTCAAAATGCAACTCTACAATCAAAACCTCACCAATCAAAAATCCTTTTTCAGAATGGCATTCATGCAATAAAATAAAACACACAAGCACCATTTGAATTACTCTTTCAAAGCAGCACTGATGTACTTTATACAAAACACAACTGTCTTTAGCAATTTGTAAACCTTTTTAATTCCCTCCAGGCTTATGTGAGTTTCAAACGTGTGTGTGTGTGTGTGTGTGTGTGTGTGTGTGTGTGTGTGTGTGTG